GGAAAAAGGGAAAAGAGAATTGCAGAGAAGGAACTGACTGACAGAAACTGGGATCAGGAGGATGAAGCTGAGGAGGTAAGATAGACATTAGATCCTTCCCCACCCCCACCCCTGCAGGTAGTAGGGTAGTTATTTGCATGTGCTATTTATCTTGTGGGTAAAATCTACAGTAAAATTGGTTAAAAGTGTAGCAATTAAATATAATTTTATATAAATGATTTTTTTTTTTTTTAATAAAGCTTCCAATATATGTAGACCATATGGCAAAGCAGCTTTTAACAGTTAAAATGACATCAGCAACTCAGGGGAAAGGAACTTTACATTTCTAAAGGGAACACCAGGCTTGTTAAAATGCATAATGCTTCTGAACTTTTCAAATGTGTGATGGGTATTTATTGGGTTCATAAGAAAAGCAGTTTTCATTTCTTGAGAGAGATTTTCTTCATGTCTTTTCTTTTTTTTTTTTTTTAAAGGTCAGTAATAGTTAATTTCAGAAATATGATAATTTGGAGTGCTTAGCTGAATGTCCCTATGCAGCCAGAAGAATTACGCAAACAGTCAAATGATACGTTTCATCTGATTGTAAAAAGAGATTTTAATGTTTAGTGTCTCATACTTACTTATGGCTCATGTATTATCTCTAAACAAGCCGTGCTAGCTTCTGTGCTACTAAAAGTATTAAATGTTTAGGCCTATAAAATGTGAGAAAGAAAACTGACAGTACTCTTCCAGAAATTTGAATATAAGAAAACTTAATTTCCTCATTTATTACAGGGTAGTAATGAGTCATTAGCTGCCTTTGCTAATACTTGAACTACAGCAGACTGCAGGAGATTTATTTACAGCATACATCTCAATATACCTTCTCGAAACTGAATTACTTGAATTATTTGTCATAATAAAACTGAGATTGCACGAAGGGAAATGTAATGCAGAACAAGAAAGACAGAGTTTTGAAAGTATCAACTAATTGTCCAAGTAGCTGGCAAGCTAATCACAGTCCTATATTTTCTGGGTGTGGTGTTTTCTTCTTTTTTTGTTTTTTTTTTTTTTTTTTTACTTCCCTTATTTGTTAGGGAGAAGTGTTACAGGTGTGTTCAAAAGCTGATCTCGGCCATCTCTTCAGAATATGATGACTTTATGCATTCCGAGAATTTCACTAATGTTTCATAACTTCTTCTTAAAGGTGGGAACATTCTCAGTAGCTAGCGAAGAAGTTCTGAAGAACAGAGCTATTAAAAAAGCAAAACGCCGAAATGTTGGATCAGAGGTAATGTAATCACTGAGCATTAGTGTTGTAGTTTGACTCAGTTGCAAAATAATGACATTCGTGCTCAGGTTTTTATTTATTTGGGCTTGTAATAATACTGTATAAAGCTATCATCTAGAAGGTATATGCAACTAGTCAGCTCATACATGCAAATTAGTTTTTACTTACTGTTCTGTAGCAAGAGTAAGGCTAGAATGAAAAATGCGTAATACTAGTATGGATTAGGTGAAGAGAGATGTGTATTTTTTGAAGTATAAATGCAGAGTGTTTCAGACACAGTGCCTTCTACAGATGGGTAAAGTAGCATTTGAACTGGTCCAGTTTCATTCTTTGCAGAGGTGGAAGCCTGGAAATCAAAAGTTACTAGTTACCTGTACTGGAGGGCTGGGGGATGTCTAAGGCAGATGCTAAATAAGTAAAAGGCAAAATATTAAGCTGATCTGAGAATGAAAAAGATTTGTTAGGGAGAAGTGTTACAGGTCTTTTGTTAAGAATGCTGCTACTTCCCCTCCCCCCGCCCTGGTAAAGAGCTTTAGTGCCACCTACTCTTTGCAAATTGAAAATTGAAAGGAAGTTGGCCTTCGTTACAGGTTTAGTCCCTGTGAAAGCATTAACCCAGTCCAACCAAATTATAGTCCTTTCAAAAATCCCTGACAGATGCTTTGTCATGTATATCTTTCTATGAAATGTTCTTTCAACAGGGCATGCGCCGTGTTAGAAATAGGACAGAAACTTTACCTATCACTCAAATTGCTTTTGGATTGAATGGGACTAGGCACAATTAGGGGCTAGATTTTTCTCCTGTGCTTTTGATTTTCCATCTGCTGTCCAAGCAATGTAAAGGAGGAAGCTGTCCTATCCCGCTTTGGCCTACAGTAGTTTTAACCACAAAGGTGGTAGAGAATGCAGTTAATTAAAGGATTGTACCGGGAAGAGGTGGTGCAGGAAGTAAACCACAACTTGAACAGGAGGGATTCAGGGGCAAATGGAATGGGAAAAACAGAACTGGCTGAGAAGGGGACCAGATGTTGTAGAAGAAATAGTCAGGAGGGTAGGAGTCAGCTGTTAGAGATCAAAGCTGGAAGAAGAGCTAGGATAGGCTGGGCAAAGTTTAAAAAGCAGAAGAGATGGCAGGACAGCTGAGGCTGCATAAGAAACCTGTGAAATACTTACAAAAAGGTAAACTTGAAGTTTATTGATGTTCCTAAATGGAGCAAGCAGAACGCTGGAAAGAAAGACTGCAGTTTAACTTGAATGTCCAGAGAGAGAGGTAGGTAGGACTGATCAAAGAGAGACAGAATAAAAATAGCTACCTAGAAATGAGAAACAGAGGACTGAACTGGAAAAGGTAAAGCACAAAGAGGAACAAAAAGAGCCCGTACCCACAAGGCCAGATACTGGAATGGAACCTAAAATTGGTAAGTTTTGATATTTCTTCAGTGGCAAAACCAGATGAAACTCAGAAGCAATTCTCCTTGTCCTCTGATGGCTTTCCAGAGACACTGAAAGCCCACTTCCAGTAATAAGTGCTCATTACCTCAAAAGACATGATATGTAGTACCTAAAAGTGGCAGTGCCTATTTGCATGTTAATTACACTATATCTTTTAAAAACATGTAAGAAACTATACCGTAAAATAATATGGTTGTAAAGATGGTGTTCAGAACTAGGTAACGAAGAGGCTGCAGAAAGCATACACTATGTTATCAAGTACAGTCTATCTTTGCTTCTCCCATCAGTCACATTGGAATATTTTGGGTAAATCACTTAAACGTTACATAGGTGACTACAAAGTATGCTGTTTTGATGAGTGGCTTGAAGTGCTGGACTCTTAACTGCAGTTGTAAATGCTAAAAGTTGCTGAAAATAAGCCAGCAATTATATATTGCCATGTAATTATTTAAAGAAAGCAAGATGCTATGAATGTCTAAATAGGTAGTCAAACACATCCACTGCTCTGAACAATTTTTATGTATCCACTTCCTAGATCTAGTTTATTTTCATACCGAACATCTGAGTCCATTAAAAGTAGTAGCAATATGTGTCATAAGAAAGCTATTAACTTTGTTTACATAGCTGACTTAGAATAATGCATGAAATGACACACTGAACCAGGGTAAAATAAATGGAATATTAAGTGGGGATAGGATTTTTGTGGAGGTGTATGTAACTGGTTGTCTCTTTTTTTTTTTTTTTCCCTTTTTCTTTTTTCTCCCTCCTCTCCTCAGTCTGAAAGTGGAGGAGCTTTTAAAGGGTTTAAAGGCTTTATATTGCCTTCTGGAAAAGGAGGAGGTGGCTTCAGCGGATTTGGTAATGGTGCAGGAATAAAGCCTTTAGAAGGGCTGTCTAATGGAAGCAGTAGTGTCTCTAGCACTCCTTCTTTCAGCAGTTTAAAGACCACCTCCGAAACACAATCGGCATTTGGTAAGTTTTAAATAAGCATACATATTTATCAACAAATTCAGCTTTAAAATCTGTAGGGTTATTTAAGTTTTAAATAATCATACATATTTATGAACAAATTCAGCCATAAAATCTGTAGGGTTATTTTAATAGTGAAAAAACAAATTCCAACAACCCTGTGGTTCTCTTCTAAGGTTTTGAGATTTTCTTCCTCTTTGTAAGATTTCTTAAAAAGATTTTAGACTGCTGGAGGGACAAGTTATCAAATGCATGCAGTTTTAAGAGGTGGAAACTAAATTCGTATTTGATCTGATACTGGAGGTAAAAGCTTTATAGGCACAAATGGGAATGGAAGACATTGGCATATGACACTCAGAATAGTATAAAACAGCTGGTAACATGTTCCAGTTAAATAATTGTCCCAATTATCTGAATTTAATAAAAAAAAAAAAAGCTAATGGAAAATGTCCATTTAGTAGGACTGCAGTTTCTTTGTGTGATTTTTTTTTTTTTAAGGTCTTGTTTCTGTATTTTTTGCAGTTCTTGGTAAATACATGCTGCAGAGCTAAAGTATTAACCTTTTTTCCCTGTACATCTTATATTGCAAACAGTCTTACTAGAATTCTATCTCTTAAAATGTAGGTATAAATGTAAGACGCTTGAAATATTTTGGCAATTATGACTTGTAGTCTCATGCTTTAGTAGTCTCTGAAGAATATTAGTTCTATGCCTTTGTGTTGGCGATGCAGAAATGTTAACCATGCCACAGTGTTTGAGTGAGCATGCCACAGAATAGAAATAGTGGAGTTTAAAGTTTAGAGTAGCTTAGATTTCAGTGAGCTTAACTAAATTAGGAGAAACTTAAATATTTAATGAGGATTTTCTTAATTTGCTTATTATGGTTTTTATATGGAAACCACTCAAAAATGTGCAAAATCATGGGCTAGTGTGTTCAGAGTTCTTTAAAGCACAAGTAGTAAGAGATAACTGGATATTTTGTTTTAATTGTTGCAGCTTGGTAAAGCTTGAATTAAGATTTTGGGGGTTTTGGTGAAATACAAAACTTTTATTTTTTTAATATTATTCTGTAAGATTTCTTTGGATTTTTTTATACAACTGTGTGCTCTATCTACTTTGTCTATCCCTGAACTAACTTACTTGTCTAAACTTAGCGAGCTTAGGTCTGTTTCACAGTATTGTATGCTTATGTGTACCACAGTATCTGGTACACAGTGTCGCGTTGTGATAAAAGACAAGGTACCTAACTGAGCAAGAATGAGTGATTTGATAAAGAAATATTGAGAACATTTAGTTTAGGTTTTTATGAGAACTGTGCTTTCTGGAAAAAAAGAAGTTCTAAACCATATTTTTCTTCTAATAGGATCAACAATGTCAAATGGTCCTACTACTACTGCGTTTACTGAGAAAAAGGCTGCAAGCCCAAAAGCTAATGGTGGCAGTCAACCATCTTCATCTGGCTATGCTCAGAGTAAAGTTTGTAGCTCTAGTGTTTACCACAAACAGTTAGCAGCTTTAAACTGTTCTGTGCGTGACTGGATAGTTAAGCATGTAAACACAAACCCACTATGCGACCTGACACCCATCTTTAGAGACTATGAGAAGTATTTAGCAAATATTGAACAGCAACATGGAAGCAGTAGTGACAGTGGCTCTGAAAATGAAAGCAACAAGACACCTGGCTCTCAGCCTGTTTCTACGTTTGGGAATTCAAAGGTACAGCAAGGATCAACTTTTTTGTTCAACAACAACAAAACTGAGGATCCCTTGGACAAAAAACCCGAAGCTGCATCTGAAAAAAAAGACCCATTGTTAGGAGCTACATCAACCGTCTCATTTAATTTTGGCAAGAGTGTCGACAGTTCTGTTTTGGGTTCCCTTGGTTCAGGAACGCTTAGCAGTTTCTCATTTTCTCCTGGGAATTCAGGTTTGTTTGGAAAAGATGGAAACCCGGCTAAGTCTGTCACTGCAGTATCCACCAATGTATTGGAAGCTCAGACAGAAAGTGGCAATAGCGATGATAAAGGTAAATTCTATTTTAAATTATTATTTTTAAGCTGTGAATGTGTGTGACTTAAGAATACTGCAAAGATGAAATAATACTAAGTTGAACTAGATCATAATTGTTCTTGAATTTGAAAGTACCAAACTGTGCCACTAATCCAGAAATAATCTGTCTTGCATAGTGTTTAAGTATAACTAAAAGTATATGGTTATCAAAACCTATGTATTTGTCAGATTTATACTTTCTGTAATAGAAAAAAATTTTTTAGCTGAATACAAGACTGGAAGTGATTAAATTTAAAGCAACTGGTATGTTCATCTTTGAGCCTGCAGGACATTTCAATCCTGCTGCTTTGCCCAGTAGGTTTATCAAGAGATCCCTCAGTACAACGCGTACGATATGGAACAATTTCATACATCTTTCTTACAAGACTGTAAGGCCAATAAAGTTGCATACTACCTGACAGTTTTACTCTGCTATTTAGCTAAGCTGGGTACAGTAAGCTGATAGAAATCCTAGCAGTTGAGGGACTGAAAATAATCCTGCCACTGTCTCTTGGCTGTCATTCCTGCAACTGATTACCCTTCCCCCAAATTAAAGTTGGTGGTTGGAAGATTTATTTTGCTTTACTTGAACCCATTTGTGGAGACTATTCTTTGAAATGTTATAACTGTTTTCCCCCGAGAAAAGGTTTTGACTTGTTCAGCTTTGCAATTTTTGGTTTTGATTGTTTGGGGGTGGTGGTGGTGGTGTATTTTCATCCCATTTAAATTGAAGAGGAGTATAACGTTGCTTGAGGGGTGTGGCTGAATGAAAAGAAAATAAGACTTTTTTTCTGTAGCTGAAGCTGCTTCAGAGCCCACACTGATAGCTAAAATACATTTAAATCATTGACAGGCTACACATGTATATGTCAAATACAGCATGCATAAACTAGTTCTAATACAATGCCAAAAATACCTTCCAGATTATATGCTCACAACATTAATGTACTAAAACTTTTTATTTAAAGGAGGAGAAGAGGAGGAAGAAGAGCCACCAAAAGTCATTGTTAATGAAATAAAAGAGGATGATGCTTTCTACTCAAAGAAGTAAGTGATTTTAACTTGGAATAGTGAAGAGAATTGTAACTTTGAGAATAAAATTCATACCTATGTACTGCTACTCTTCATCGCGGCAGTGCATAATTAATGTTGTCTATGTTCTTGATTTCCTAGTTAATAAAACTTTTTAGGAAGCCATGCAGAATATGAAGTTCCAATTGTAAAAAAGTTAATTACAGACAAAAATGTGTAAGACCTTACTAAAATTCTTGTGTATCTTGGACACAGCACAGATAGCTAGTTTGTGTTCTACTTGTGATCAGGTTGTGGGGTTTTTTTTTTTTAACAAATGAAGATGATGTATCTGCCTTCATCAGGTTTTGTAAGTTTAAACTGTAGGGCTTGTACCACAGAAATAACGTACACTACTTCTGAAAAGTGTGAGTCAGGTGCTCAGCTATTTGCATAGCCTAAAATAAGACTCTTCAGTTGGAAAATGCTGATTGTTGTATGAAGGAGTGAACAAGTTGTACTTCTAAGTTCAAAGCGAGACTACCTAGAAGCAGTTTTTCAAAGCATGTTCAGTAGTCCAAGTAATTGCCTGACTACTTAACACTTAGCACAGAATCTGTCTTTCTACAAAAAGTCATTTGCTTTATCTGAGAGAAGGTACGTGCTCGTATATGAAGAATGGCATTAGGTTTATTAGAGCTTCACTTAAAAAACGTTTTTAAATTTTACATAAAAGTCCTATTATAACTTCAGAATGATACAGCAAGCTCTTTCGGTTTTGTAATTAGTGTTTTTAAACAGTAGCTTGCAGTTATTACTCCTTATAGACCCTGAGGTGGTTGTGCATTTTACTTTTCCCTGAAAGTAATATGTTTGTCATTTCAATACTGAAAGAAATAATTAACTTTCTCTTTCTGAACTGGAAGTACTAGCTGTTAGCACATGAAACAAGGTCAAGAAGAACAAAGATTTATGCTACTCACAACATTTTAACTCCTGATTATTGTTAAACTGTTGGCTTACTGTGAGTCAGATGTATACATATATATATGTGTGTGTATTTGGGAGATATCTTTGTATTTAATCTCTACATATCTGCACCAACAAGTGTGGGGGTTTTTCCACAGGTGCAAACTGTTCTACAAAAAGGATAATGAATTTAAAGAAAAAGGTGTAGGAACATTACACTTAAAACCAGCAGGAAATGAAAAAACTCAACTCCTAGTTCGAGCGGATACCAATTTAGGTAAGTAAATTTCTTCTAGTAGCAAGTCTTGATGTGAAATTCCCTGCTAAGCATTAGGATTTTTTTTGTTACACACCATAACAGACACGATTAGTGAAAACCTTTCTACTTTGGTTTTTTTGAATAATTTCAAGTATTGAACAAGCAATTGGATGCCTCTAATGAGTATTACAAAATAGTGCACATGAAGCAGTGCAAAGAAGTAAAAGGTTATGGTGTATGTTTGGGTATTTTCCCCCCCACCCCTTAAGCATTAGGATTTTTTTTGTTACACACCATAACAGACACGATTAGTGAAAACCTTTCTACTTTGTTTTTTTTGAATAATTTCAAGTATTGAACAAGCAATTGGATGCCTCTAATGAGTATTACAAAATAGTGCACATGAAGCAGTGCAAAGAAGTAAAAGGTTATGGTGTATGTTTGGGTATTTTCCCCCCCACCCCTTTTTTTAATAGCTTTTCTCCATCCCCGACTTGTTGAGTGGTTTGAAGCATGGCTTAAGATCCACAATGTACATGTACTGATACATGTATCGGGTGTGATAAATGAAGAGGAACAAATTTTGTGCTAAGATGCAGGCCAACTGTCATTTGTCTGCAATTCATCCTGAATACGTAAATAGTTGGCCATGTGGGCAGACATCCGTTGTACTTGGGGGTAAAGGGGAGCATTCTATAGATCAGGCATGCAGGATTTTGCTATATGCGTTGCTCTTAAAATGCACACCGAAGTCCAGCTGTTGAACTGTGTTTTAGCTAACTTCAGTTGGATCACAAACGGTAGGTTGACTCTACAGAATTAAGAGTAACCTGTAGCGTGATAGTTCCTCAATATCTTTTGAGATGAATGTTAACACATACAGCTAACTAAAGAGAAAAAAATGCAACCATTTCTTTGCTTTTAGAAGTTAGGGGGTACTTGATGTGGGGGTACTTGATGTAGCATCTGGCTCAGGGTGTAATGTTCTGGCTGAAGAGTGTTTACACACTCAAACTATGCAACCAGTTCATTGTTGAGAAGCCTTGCTACACTTCAGTACCTGATTTCAACAAGCTTGCATGTGAGGTTCACATGCACTTGGCAACTTCCATAAAATAGAATAAATATTATGCTTATAGGAGACCTGAGGACTAAAGTCATGCAGGCCCTTGGTAAATCTCGCCTCACTTTCAGTTTATAATGCACTCTAGCAAGTCTGTATGAAGCCTCTGCAGGCCCAATAGGGGCAGTTTTCAAATACCTGGTGAGATTGGGACTCCTGTGTTAGTCACTTCTAAATCATCAACTTCTTTCAGCGGAGACAGGGTTTGCCAGATAAAGGGCAGGTCTTAGCAATAAAACTGAAGGCAGACGTATGGCAGAGCTGTCAGTGCTTTCAGCATTTCCTTGGGGATTTGAATGTGTCGAATAGAGCAGATGAAAACTTGATTTCTCCAAGTTACCTGCTCTTTAACACAAGTCTTGATTTTTCACTCAGCTGATGCTAATTTTCCTGATGTTGATTTACATTCCCTCTACCTTCATCTGAGGTGATGTATTAGGAAATCTTTCCTTTTTCTTCAGCTCGTACACTAAGACATTTCAGCTTGGTGTTTCCAAGCGTTGGTTTCTAGAAGCTGCTGCAGTCATAGTGATGCACGCTTTCCTTTTTGCTATCTTCACACAGTGCTATAATCCTTTCCTAAAATCTCACTGTGTTGAAAAACTGAACTGGAAAGGAAGGCGAAGACTGACTTTTCCCTAAACACTACTACCGTGTTCTGAACTATTTACCAGGTTTACAAAATGTGTGCATCTTCCGTGGAAGCAGATTTGAGTTTGTTTGCAACCGTTTTAATAGACCACTAATACTGGGGCTGTCAAACTCGCTACATAATTTAACAAGTTGACATACGGCTGTTATTAGTAAGCCGGTGGTAGACCACATCAGATGCGTTGTACGATTTGAGGATACAAACTACTTATTCTCCCATAGTTTGTCCAAATTTGGATTAACGTGTCTGTATGTGTGTTAAAGCTAACTTTTTGCTTCTGCTTATGAACTGTGCTTGATGGTCAGAATGAGCAGCTGGCATAAGCATAAACTAAGCACTACGACTCGAGTCCTCATTTGCTGCTTCTCCCTCGTCCTCTTCCCTTTTTCCTGCATGTCCCTACTATAATTTGATATTCTTCAGACTCCTCCCTTTTTTTAAAAGGAGCACGCGGTATTTCCAGAGACTTCCTCATTCCTAATGAGGAAAGAAATCCGTGAGAACAGTGGCCATGAGCAGATGCTTAGGGAAGAATGAGACAAGTATATATGACATTTGTGAATTGCCTTCCTTCCAAACACAAACTTAAATCCCTATTTAGTAAGTATACTAACATCTGTATTGCAGTAAAAGCTGAAAAATTGCTAATTGCAATTTTTTTTCCTCCTCATATGCAGGAAACATACTGTTGAATGTTCTAATTCCACCTAAGATGCCATGTACAAGAACCGGAAAAAACAACGTTCTTATAGTTTGTGTTCCTAATCCACCGATTGATGAGAAGAATCCAGCTGTTCCTGTCACTATGTTAATAAGGGTGAAAACAAGTGAGGATGCAGATGAGTTGCACAAAATCTTACTGGAGAAAAAGGAGGCTTAAATAAGTTGCAGTCAGTGATTTAAGGAATTATTGCCAAACTGCTGCTGCTCTTTTTTTCTTCCATAACTTCACTTGAACACTTAACTCTTTACTCTGGTATTAAGAACTGTTATAGGAATTCTGGAAAAATTCTGTGAGGAAAAGCTAAACTAGCTAATAAAAGCTTTAATAGAACACAAGCGTTGGACTGTGCTCCCTCATTTTTCAACATCTAAATGCAGGACCTCTTCTGGATAAAGCATATTGATTTACGTTAAAGCACGTGTTTTTAACACCAGTTGATTTGACAGAATGGACTGAAATCAGAGTACAAAAATATGGTACCAGAGCTTCCTCACAGACTGCGGTGCAATGCAACAACCTCCTGTTTTGAGAAGGGGGGATGTTGAAGCTTAACTGTTGAAACTGTTTCTAGACTCCAGGTTTTTAATTTTAATTGGCCTGTCATATTCTGGTGAGACTAATTTTTCAAACTGTCAGTGACAATGTACCCCAACAACAATGATATTATATATATTGTACTGTGTTTTAACTCTTACAGACTCGTGTGCTTTTGGGACTCGGAGACTGCATCTCGAGATATTTAAAAGAAAATTTGCTTGCGTAGTCTTGTTGACAGTAGTGTTTCTTAGAGAAGAACTGTCAGTTCTGTTCTTACCGTAGCAACAAGCTGATGATGTGCAATAGTACAAGCAGACAACTGGAAGACTGTTTATCTTGGACCACAACCACAGCTGGCATTCGGCGACTTCTGACAAGTCAGAGGCAAAGGGTTGCCCTTCCATTATGGTCCCTCCGAGGTATTCTTCTCTAGTCCTGTGGGCTAAAACTGAAACCCAGCAGAGGCGGAGTCGTAAATGTTGTACTTGTCTCGCTACTAGTACTTTTCTGAAGAGAGCTCTTTTCACAAACAAATTTCAGGATTTTTATAGATCTTTATATTGCCTCTGGCCATTACCAAGAATACATGCGTAAGTGTGTGTGCGTGTCAGTAATTATTTTTCCCGTGTGCTAAAACTGCAGTGCTTTACTGCATTACATTAAGTAAACCAGTAGTTTGCAGCTTTAGGACAAGCTTTCTGTGGCAAAAGTAGGGAGCACTGGGTTAATCTATAACTTGGCTTTCAGCTGTGTTAGAATTAACCACGTGGCAATAATTTGTGGATCAGAACATCATTCTGTTCTTGGTTTCCATCTCAACTTTATCACACCTTGTTTGGTTATTTAATCCTTTTCTTTTGCAAATCTTGTTTGCTGGAAACTCCTTCCCTAATTGTTTTTCTGCTTCACTTCCAGCTCTGGAAACTATCCAAGAGCTAGATGTTAATATTAAACTTGAGCTGCTCCCTGAACTGTCTCACTGACCAGCTCTGGGGAGATGGAAGAAACACGGCAACCTCTCTCTGGCTGATGCGGCACAGAGGAAAAAATCCCGTTCTTTAAAAAAAGCAGCATGATGCAGTTCTCACAGGGGACCTGGAAATCCACAACAGCGGCATCCTGTGGGTGGGGAAAAAGTAGTAGCACCATTTGATTAGATGCAGCACATCCTACCTGCTGCTCTCTGGGGGGGAACAAACGGCTGCCTTTGGTCCTCATTCACTGCACAATTCAGGTTATGGCCTTTTTTCCCCCTCTTAACTAAAAGAAGGAAAAACTTTATAGGATCTATAGCCCTCTTGACCAAAGTTCAAAAACAAAGGCCTTTGCTCACATCTCAGCTACACTGAGGTCACAGGAATTGCATTTTTAAGACTCAAGTGTAAAGGAAGCTTAGATACGATTTCAAATATTATTTGAAATACAAACTGGTGCCTTTTTTTTTTTTTGCATCTGGCTCAGTACTTAACCATTGAAAGTTGACGTTACGTTCCTCAAAATAATGTGCTTTTCTTTAAAAAAAAAAAAAAAGTCTTGCCGATACCTAAATTGGAGGCCAAAAGCCGAAGGCTTGCATGTTAATTGTGTATGAATGAAAAGCAGAACATTGCCTGAAAGTTTATTACAGGCTTAGGTTTAATATCCAAGGGCTCAGTTAATTTTGCATTTGTCGTTTGACTGTAATGTCTTAAACGTGTCTCTGTGCAGGAAGGGTTTATAGACTAGAGCGGTGGATGTGGTAAGCGCATTTGTTACGCATCCCACTTCAAGAGCAACTCTGGAGAGATTGTACCGGCAGTCTTGGGTTTGTGTGTGTGTGTGTTTACTTCCGAAAGCTCACCGATACGTAACTGTTTCTCCATCCATTGAAATGTGGACCAAGTAACTTAAACAAGTGGGAGACAAACTGAACTTCCTGTGGATCCTTAGGATTTGCCTCCGAAGGGAGGCGGCCTGGGGCTTTTGCACGCACGTATTTGGCCCGGTTCTAAAGCTGGCAAACTGAGTAACGGCTAGTGCGCCCCCGTCATGTTTTCAAGGGTGGACATCCTGAGGGCGAGCACAGAGCGTAAGGAAAAATAAGTAGAATAATAATAAATTGTGTTGGAAAAACTAAACCTTAGAATACCCATGCTACCCGGTTCTAGCTGGCAAACGGAGTAACGGCTAGTGCGCCCCCGTCATGTTTTCAAGGGTGTACATCCTGAGGGCGAGCACAGAGCGTAAGGAAAAATAAGTAGAATAATAATAAATTGTGTTGGAAAAACTAAACCTTAGAATACCCATGCTAGCAAGTAATCTCTTCCGTTAGCTGTGGGAAAGACTAATTGAGAGACACCTTAATTCTTTAGCAACGTACGTATTTATCAGTAAAGCTAGGGGAAGGTATGTAATTGGAATCTCGTGTTAATTAGAATGTCAAATATATGCATAAACATACAACTTTAAACATTTCACACGGGGAAAGCTGCCACTAAAAGAAGAGGGAAGAATTTTACTGCAAATTAGAGGTTTTAATCAACATCGTTCATAGTGACCCTGCAATTACCTGGTTACTTCCGAAAGCTCACCGATACGTAACTGTTTCTCCATCCATTGAAATGCGGACCAAGTAACTTAAACAAGTGGGAGACAAACTGAACTTCCTGTGGATCCTTAGGATTTGCCTCCGAAGGGAGGCGGCCTGGGGCTTTTGCACGCACGTATTTGGCCCGGTTCTAAAGCTGGCAAACTGAGTAACGGCTAGTGCGCCCCCGTCATGTTTTCAAGGGTGGACATCCTGAGGGCGAGCACAGAGCGTAAGGAAAAATAAGTAGAATAATAATAAATTGTGTTGGAAAAACTAAACCTTAGAATACCCATGCTAGCAAGTAATCTCTTCCGTTAGCTGTGGGAAAGACTAATTGAGAGACACCTTAATTCTTTAGCAACGTACGTATTTATCAGTAAAGCTAGGGGAAGGTATGTAATTGGAATCTCGTGTTAATTAGAATGTCAAATATATGCATAAACATACAACTTTAAACATTTCACACGGGGAAAGCTGCCACTAAAAGAAGAGGGAAGAATTTTACTGCAAATTAGAGGTTTTAATCAACATCGTTCATAGTGACCCTGCAATTACCTGGACTATGAAGCAGGAAAAGTCAGCCAGTCATACACTTTTCACTTGGTGTTCAGTTATAAAGCACAACCCTTCTCCGGTACTGTTGCAAAAACAAGTTTTTGATGATGCTTCAGGTTCTAGTTAAGAAATATTAAAATACATAAATACTGTAAGAGGCCAGAGACTATTACATAGAAAAAAAGGCCTAAAATGAGTTCAAAAGTTAGCGGGGAGCATAGAAATCAATATACTAATGCCTTCATAACGAAGTGGCACATGCTATACAAGGAAGGAATTCTGATCAGAATTCCAACTCGATGAGGCGTTCGTTCCTGTATCGTGGTAGATACTTAATATATTTAACAGCTGGATATCAGATACCCGATGTTAAAGATGCAAGTTTCCTCCCTAATTTGAGTTAATGCCTTCACTGTTTCAGCTGTACATAGGTGCTGGAGTGTCTTATGGATCACGCGTTCTTCCCTCTGCTGTAATTTTGAAGTTTCAGCTGCTTAGAAATCTTTCCCTCTCACCTCCCCAAAACAGAAAATCAAGATCTCTGCTTCTTTTAATTATCAGAATCATCTGTAAGGGAGATTATTACAGTTGGTTTGAATTTTATTTTTAAATATTAAATTGCTATATGCAGGGTTTTTTTTTGTAATGTACTTAAAATTATCTTTTTGGGAACACGACAGCGTGTTCCTGTAATCCCTTTTGGTTGATGGATGTGAAAGTTTAAATTAAAATTTACAGTTCAAATGAACATGTTGTAGAACGTAAACCAATTAGGAGGTATGCTTCTCTATTAAGAACTTCAATTCAGCTCCCTTTGCAGCACTGTAACATTTAAAATGTCCTTAAAGACTTTTTTTTCTGATGCCTTAACTTATTTGCATTTGCTAAAATTTTGTAGCTGGTGCCTGTGCGCAGAAATTAACTGACATTAAACAATTTAAAGTGGCATGAGCTAGTAAAAATCCAATGAAAATGCTGAATGTGACGATTTGTTAATTGTTAAGAGATTTCAAACTGCTCTGAATTTTTCAGTGGATACTTAAGTTTCACATAACTTGTCACGTAACAATGTTTTCATTAGTTCTAATACATTGAGGAAGTGTACAAAAATCCATGGAAAATGTGAATAAATGAATGGGAGATAAGCGTCTCGTGTGTATCACTTTCACTTTGAGCGTGTAACACTATTAATAAAATGAATTTTACAGTCAGTTGCTTGCAGGTGAACTCCTGCCTAGAAAATCCCGCGCACGGCCTCACTGCTGCTAGAAGGGGGAATGCGCCTACTCCGCCCCTTCCTCCAGCCGGCTTTGAAACCTGTCGCTTTGTTACCAGCCAGTTCAGCCAAAAATGCTTTCTTCTTGCAAGGCCAGTGAGCTGAATCAGCTCAGAGGGAGGCGCTAGGGCTGCCTTTTACCAGAAAGAGAAGAGCTCGTTCTTACATGCTAAGAGAATGACTGTAGAGATTGATCTCTAAAAATCCCCCTCCACTTGAAAGATTTAAGAGCAGAAGTAATCTGTGTTTGCCTGATGACATATGTAGAACTTATTTTAGATCTAGCCTAAAAGCACTATCCTAAAGCCAGGCCACAAAGCGATTCTTCTCTTCATTGGTTTGTGACAGTTTGGAAAAG